TAGATCGGTGGAGCGTGTTTGGGTAACCGAGACATCGATTAGGTGATAAAAATTAAGGGTACCGAGTTAATTTGTATGGTTAATCACACCTTGTGAACGTGAACTTCCCTGAGGAGTTGGCTATTGACATCATACTGTACTCCTTACCTACTTGTTATGATCAATTCCGAATGACATATCAAATGAACAATGAGGAGGTCACACACAGCAAGCTTCAAGGACTTTTGAAGACCGCCGAAAGTGGTCTAAAAGGTAAATCCGTTGTTACGACTCTTACTCCTAACACTGCCCCTATCCTGGCTATCGGGAAAAGCAGAGGGAAGAAGAGGAAGAACCCTTCGAAGGGTACCAAGGGAAAGTCTGTTGATGGCTCCTATTCAAGTGGAACCAAAGGTGGTTCTGTCACTCCTTCTTCCAATCCAAAGGAAGCTCAATGCTCCTATTATTAGGAAAAGGGGCACTGGAAACGAAACTGCCCCAAGTATGTACAAGATGTTATGGATGGGAAGGTCAAACCTAACCATACATGTATTTATACTATATTATCTAATAACTCACCACATACTACTTCTTGGGTTCTTGATACAAGTTGCAGTATTCATATATGTTCTGATTTGCAGGGCCTAAGAAGAAGTGAGGATGTGGAGCACAAAAAGATAAACATGATCATGGGGAATAGGAAAGCTTCATCTGTCAACAAGATTGGAGTTTATTCTTTTTTTAAGTAGTGGGTTAATGTTAGATTTGAATAAGTGTTGTTCCTTGTCTGAAATGGCGAGAAATATTATTTCTTTTCATGGCTTGTACAAACAAGGTTTTACTTTTTCGTTTGATAATGAAATCGGTGCTATTAATGTTTTTTAGAATGATGTATTTTACTTTAAAGCATTACCTTATAATGGTGTAGTATCTTAGTACAGAGTTCCTTGACTATCTTAAGGAATGTGGAATTGTTTCGCAATTGACACCTCCTAGAACGACACAGCTTAATGGTGTGGCTGAGAGGCCTTAAAGACTGCCACCCATATCCTTATTCTAGTCCCTACCAAGAAGGTTGACAAAACAACTCACGAGATGTGGACAGGGAAAATTTCAAATTTAGACCATATCAAAATTTGCGGTTGCGAGGCTTTCATGAGACGTGAGACTCAGGATAAGCTCAAACCTTGTAGTAAGCGGCGTATTTTCATCGGCTACCCACATAATTATTTTAGTTACCTCTTCTACAGACCCATTGAGAATGTGGTATTTATAGCAAGGAGAGGGTGAGAGAGAGAGAGAGAGAGATTCTATAATCCAAGGAAACAGTGGGAGGCAAATTGACCTTCCAGAACTTCAAGAGTCAAGCGGTGAAGGAACCTCAAACCCTAGCAATCAACCTGAGGAGGAAACTCCTGTTGATGAGTCCGTACCTCTGAGGCATTCCACAAGAGTTAGGAATCCACCTGAGATTACTATGGATTTCATATTACTATGGAAGGTGATGCATTTATCAATGAAAGGACACTGGTAAATTTGGATGAGTCTAACAACTTTAAGGAAGCCATGACAGGCCCTGAGTCTGCCAAATGGAAAGAGGCCATGGACAACAAGAGTCAGTCCATGTATGACAATCAAGTTTGGAACTTGGTTGAAAATGTACTGGGTCATAAGATGGTCGGGTGCAAATGGATCTTCAAGAAGAAGACCGACATGGATGGGAATGTACACATTTATAAAGCATGACTGGTTGCGAAGGGCTTTACTCAAACTCCAAGAATTGACTATGATGAGACCTTCTCACCAGTAGTGAAGATTAAGTCTATTAGGGTTTTGCTAGCCATAGCTTCATTTCATGATTATGAAATATGGAAAATGGATGTCAAAACCGATTTCCTTAATGGAAAGTTGGTTGAGGATGTTTACATGAGTCAACTAGAGGGTTTTGTCGATGCAGAGCACCCTAATGGAGTGTGTAAGCTTGAGAAATCCATCTATGGATTTAAACAAGCATCTCACAGATGGAATTTTTGTTTCGATGAGAAAGTCAATGAGTTTGGGTTTTCGAGGAACGAGGATGAGTCCTATGTATATGTTAAGGCCAGTGGGAGTATAGTTGGATTTTTGGTGTTGTATGTGGATAACATACTACTCATAGGAAATGATATCCCAACCTTGCAGGAGGTTAAATCCTAGCTTGGAAAGTGTTTCGCTATGAATGAACTTGGAGAAGCTACCTATATCCTAGGGATAAGGATATTGAGAGACAGGAGTAAGAGACTAATTGGACTTAGTCAAGGTACCTACTTGGATAAGGTGATGAAAAGGTTCAGCATGAAGGATTCCAAGAAAGGTAACTTACCAATTTAGAGTAACGCCAAACTGAGTAAGACTAAGAGCTAGAGTATAGAGGCTGAGATATATGAGTGAGTCGAGTACCGTATGCTTCCGTTATAGGCTCGATCATGTATGCAATGACTTGTACTCTCCCTGATGTGGCCTTTTCTTTGAGCTTGGTCAACAGATATCAAGGGAATCTGAACAAGGATCACTGGACTATGATGAAGAATATTATCAAGTACCTACGAAGGACTAGGGACCGAGTTCTTACCCTTGGTGGGAGTGATGACTTGAAAGTAGTGGGGTATAGTGATGCTAGCTTCCAGACTGATAGGGATAATTTCCACTCTCAGTCGGGCTGGGTCTGTACCCTAAATGGAGGAGCAATTACTTGGAAAAGTTCCAAGAAGGAGACAGTAGCTGATTCAACTTGTGAATCAGAGTACATAGTAGCAAGCAAGGCTGCAAAGGAGGCAATATGGTTAAATAACTTCATTGGAGACCTTGGAGTTGTACCAACTATTAAGGAGCCTATGGAGATTTTCTTTGATAATGAGGGTGTAGTTGCCTTAGCTAAGGAACTAACGGATCATGGCAAATCCAGACACATCGACAGAAAATACCACTTCATTAGACATCGGATAGAAGGACTCCTCGTGGTAAATAAGGTATCATTGGATGAGAACCCATCAGATCCCCTCACGAAAGGACTGTGTAGGTTTAAGCATTTGCAGCATGCGAGGCATATTGGGCTGAAGGATGATATTAGATTTACAGATTAGATAGCTCTTTCTAAAACTTGTAAAATGTAATTCACATTTGATTATTAAATAAAAATTGTTGTTTATTTATAAGTACAGAGTTTCTATCTTGTGTCAATTGTTTACTATTGTTTCAATTTGCATGTTTTGACTTCCAAAATAATTACTTTAATCAAACTCTCCACAATCAGTCATATGTTGGAAGTAGGTATGAATCAAGACTGTCATGAATTGGGCTTGTAGATGTCTAAGGTGTTAGGCATAGCAAAAGTTGCTACAACATTCATGAGTGCTCATAATTTCTGAGAATTAGATTTAACCCATGCTCGCTTGTATCACTTCATGAAATTTATCTCGAGTGATCGTGAGATGGTGATATCATATAAGTCTTCAAACCTAGAGATATAAGTTGTTGATTATGAGTTGGTTGTGCATTTATTGCATGAAAAGGCATCAGTAACTTGATGTTATAAAATGTGCTTTTGGGTATGATTCAATAAGTAGTTAGTATAAGTATATGAGTCGAAGTTTATCTGTTCCTTTTAATACTTGGAGGATTAAAAGAAGTATTTGGACTCATTGATGATTTTGTTTTGACCTATGTGTCGGGCCCGGTCAGAACCAAATTGATGTGTTCAGTTTAGTTTTATGTCAAACAAATAGGAAATTGGGAAACAAACTGCTGGACAATAAGTACGACATTGTTCCATGTATTTGTCCAGTTGATATCTAGAACATATGATTATATCATCACTTATATTAAATGGTGCATCATCATGTTAGTTCCGCGAGACTTTCAAACAGCTATGACTACTAGTCGGATCCTGAAGTCATACCTGTAACTATAGTTACTAGACTTATCCAAGTGGGAGACTATTGGATAAGGTGTCTAAGTCCATAACTATATTTGGTATGTACTTGACCCAGCTTGGCATGGTCCATTTGGGTTGCATGGCATCTCAACAATTGGACAGAAAAAATGAGAATAAGGACACTTATGATTTGTTAATATATTCTAATAATATGAAATCAAATTATTTAATTTGTATTGAACAAGAATTAATTTGGAATTAATTTTGTGATCAAAAGAGACTAATTAAATATATGGGGATTAATTATGTAAATCTTTCATTCTTATATAGTGGGCTTGTGGTCCATGATTCACTAGATTGGGCTAGGACCCATTGGGCGCTCCATGGAGGTTAAAACCCATGGATCATGGGCGAAATGAAAATCCATCACTACAAGAAAAACAGCCTTATACGACGCGCAATTAATGATACACATTGATAGAGGACACGCATTTGTGCGTGCCCTAAAATTAATGTCTGTTTTCCAAAATTTGAAGGATAGAAGACAAGCATTTTGGGCGCGCCCTAAAATTAGTGTCCAACAAAAAAAACACGGAGGGCACCTATCATAAAAGGCGTGTCGTGTAAATGTGTCGTTTTATATTTTTTAGAAAGGTGCGTTCTGCATTGTTTTAATAATCTATGGTGGGAAATGAAATTCCAAAAAATTAAACAGCCGCCTGATTCATCTCCTTCATCTGCTTATTCTCCTTCTAAAATCCTCTAAAAAAACCCTAATAATCCTTGTTCGCCTGATTCATCTCTTTCTTCTCCTTCTAAAATCCTCAAACAAAAAACCCTAATAATCCTTTTGAACCAACCCTCTTCATATACCTCTACATTCTCTCTCTCTCTCTCTCTCTCTCTCTTTCTCTCTCTCTCTCTCTCTCTCTCTCTCTCTCTCTCTCTTTCTCTCTCTCTCTCTCTTTCTCTCTGTCTCTCTCTCTCCTCTCTCTCTGGAAAACCCTAATCACCCTTCTAGTTTTCTGATCTAGGTTCATCTGCTCTTGCCTTCGCTCCTATTGGACCACCACACTCCCCCACCGGATTGCTAAAACAATAGCCACCGATGCACCACTTTACCCTTCTGGTTCGTTATCCCCCTCCCTTAATGTCTACGATCGACAATGGAGATGATGGCCACTACTACTACTCCATTACTCACATGTCGATATTTCATATTTGTAAACCCGATATAGAGATTTTTGGATCCGATTTTTGTGGATTACAATATCACTCATCTCTCCTCTCCACCACCGTCGCTGACCCACGCACCTTCCGATTGTGTCTTAAATTGCTTAAAGAGAAATGGATTGAGCTCAACTTTAAGGGTGTTTATGTGACAACCGATCCACATACTGATGTTTGTTCTACCTCCATTTCATCCAGGTATACATCAATCTCCATCGATATCTCCTCCAGGTGCTCTTGTATTTTGATTTTGATTTCGACTGGTCTTTTTTTTTCTTTTTCTTTTGAATTATTTTGATTTTCTATTGTCTCAGTCTTCCCTCTTTTATTTTGATCACCTCCTCTTTGAAATTTCTACCACTCTGCGGCCGCATCGGAGGAAAGGGCGAGCGCGAGACGGAGAGTGACAGTTGCAGAGACCTTAATGGCATTCCGAACCCGAAAGAAGAAGAAAACCCAAAAAATTTGAATGCCAAGCCAAAAGTAGTAGTGATAATGGGAGCAACAGGTTCTAGAAAATGTCGTCTCGCCATTGACCTAACTTCACAATCCCTTATCGAAATCATTAACACTGATTCCATGCAGGTTTGAACACAAGCACACAAGCACGAACATATATGTATTGGTATTACCTAATTTGTTCTTGTCTCATGATCTTTTTGATTAGTTGTACGAAGGATTGGATGTTCTCACTAATAAAGTTCCACTTGACGATCAGAAAGGTTCGATTGATTTCTCGCATGAAAACAAATTTATTATGCATCCATATCATTTCACAAGTCAATGTCTTCGTTCTTTCTTCCTCAATGTATCATCACTAATCATCTGTGATTCTTTGTCTATGTTGGAGTGCCACACCATCTCTTGGGTACAATCAGCCCTATGGTCGAGTTCACTGCAAAGGATTTTAGGGATTCCTTGTTCTCCATACTAAGTAAATTCATAAGTAATGTTTTAAAGCAATAAATTTTTAGATCCTTATGAAGATACTAAGTAAATTCATACATTACTTGGGATTTCTCCATACTGCAAGGGAAAATAAGCACGATAATCATGAATTTATTTGGATGTTTCAAAAGAGTCCTTAGATTTTTTGTAAATTAAGCAACAGTCCCTGTACTTTGACTTTTTTCATAATGGGCCCAAACTTTTTTCGAAGTTGTGGAATGACCTATGGATTTGGCATAAAAGTCTCAATTTCTCTTAAGATTAGCAGATAATTATTGACCTTTTGTGTAAATTCTCAAATAGCTCAAATTCTTTAAAACTAAGAAATCTTTAAGAAACAGAAGGAAAAAAGGTCAAATATTGGGAAAAAATATCTATTTGTATGGATATGATATGACAATGTAGAAAGTATATCTATCTTGTTAGAGGAAATTGGGTTTTGTGTGGAGCACACAAGTTCTACTGGATAGAAAACAGTAAGTTCATGTCTTATAATTTTTTATTTTTCTCATTATGTAATGTTTAAATGAATTATGTTTAAAACTTTTTGGAGAAAAGAAACACTTTATATATAATATATAACTTACTGGATTAAGTCATACTTTCTGTGTTTGTTTTCATATAGCTTATCTTGCCCTACAGGTGATACGAGTCTAATCAAGTAAGTAACATCTTCCTGCAAATTTTATAATTTCCATTTAAACCAAAAGTAAATTCAAAGGGTAAAAATGTCTTTTTGCAGGGTAATTTATGCACAGTTATGGCTGGCAACTACACACTTGTATGGGACAATTTGTATTCAACCTTTTTCAAGAAGGTTGGTTGTTTGATTCTTCTGAAAATGACTTCATGGAACATTTTTTCTTTTGCGTACTCAAAACACATGAATACCCTTATCATTGTTATCATCTATAATGTCGTTAATGTTGTTGGATGTGTAAACACAGGCTCTTCTCTACAAAGTGGATTGTATTCCACCTGTTGTAGAACTAGTGCCCTTAATTGAATCGGAAGATGGAGAGGGGATAATTTGATGTGTAAACCTGCTAACTATGTTATTAATGATTTATCCTTGTAAAAATTGTTGTTTCATTGCACTAAGTAAATTCATAAGGGATTCCTTGGGTACAAAAAATCCAAGGACTATTTTAAAACATTACTTAGTATCTTCATAAGGATCTAAAGCTTACAACAGTTTCAATCTCTAAATTTAGTGTAACTTGTAGTTTTATTCCTTGTTCTCCTTGATGTTTTTAGGCACTTGTGAGTCGATTTGTTTTAGATGATTCACCTATGGATACTGATGAACTCAGCCTAGATGAAACATATGGTAAACAACATTTTTCTACTTCAAATTCTTATGCACTCTTTTAATAAGTAGACATGACATTTCTGAACAAACCCTTTTTATGAATAGGAGATAAACAACAACCCAATGAACTTATGCAAGAACAAGAGAATTTTAGTTATAGTTATGATAATCTTAAAGATCTTGATCCAGTTGCAGCAAATAGAATTCATCCAAATGACCATAGAAAGGTAAGCTGTATTATCCTTCCAAAATTGAAATGTCCTTAATTTTGCAAATTTTTTCATACACTTTTAATATAAATGAATATTTGCAGATTAATCAATACCTTCATTTATATGCTTCATCTGTTGTTCTTCCTAGCAAATATCTTCAGGAAAAGACTATGGAGGTTGGTATCTCATATTCTTCCAAAACAGTACTTGAATAATACAAACAAGTTAAATACAAGAAATAGCAACATACTTTCATTGATTTGTTTATTATATCATTATCATTCAAATACAAACTGAAAGTAGAATGCTATTTTTTTTGCAATTATTTACTTTACTGAGTTAAAATCTTGTATATGTCAGAACAGAAATGGGGAAATGCAGATAATTTGAGATACAATTGTTGTTTTTTTTATGTTTGGACACTTCTCTCCCTGTTATAGACAAATATATGGACAAAAGGGTATAGAAGTTAATGTAGTTCGTAATTTCAAATTAAGCTAGAATCCTAATTCAATTCTATTTCATTTATAATTTTACTGTGTAGGATCTGGATGGGAAAAATATTAGTTATGTTTGAATGGAACATTGTTGATGTTTGAAATCTAAATTGCAAACTTATCAGTTTTGTAAATTGGTTCCGCCTGTTCAAAGTAAAATACTTTTATGGTTTATTAAGGGTTTTTTTGGGTTATTCATGTTTATCCATTGTTTCTGCAACATGTCACTACAGTCAAGCGTTTGAGCAAGCTGGTAGAGATCTAGGGGTAGCTTTTCACAAACAAAGGGATGCATTAAATGATTCAACAAAAAGATGGTAAGTAAGTTCAATACTTGGTTGTTAAATGTTAACATAGTTGTTAAATGTTAACATAATAAAGCAAAATCAAACATGGTTCTGTAACTTTTGTTCATATTAACTTTTTTTTAAACTATGATTACAACATGGATGTACTATGTGGTCCTGATGGTGAACTTCTAGAGAAGTTAAGGAATCTAGAGCCTCGCCTTATTGAGCACATTAGTAATGAGCCTCTTCTTATTCAGAAGCCTTATGCTACCGTTATTTTACAAGAGCAATGGCCATTTATGTGATTTTATCAGTGCCTAAATCTTGTATCAAAATGCAAATTGTACAATTGACAGCATCCGGAAAATTTGAGGAAGCTTTGGCATTGTTTAAGCTACTTGCACCAGAAGATTCAAATCTTCGAGCCTCAAAGTAGCAGTCATTTCATATCAGGTAATATTTATGGACCTGAGAAGTTTTTTGGATATGAGTGGTAAAGTTTACTTATCAAGAGCTTCATCTGGTATGTCAGATGACATGGAAACTTCTTCACATTCTCATACATTGAAGATATTATATCAGATGTTGTTGGACACACCCGTGAAAGCAGTCGTTCCAAAAGATCAAACTAACAATTTAACATTATTTAGAGTGAAGATTATTAAAAACTTTGATTTTTTTTTTTTTTTTTTTTTTTTTTTTTATGTTTTCAGGGGAGAGTCAACATGCCCCTTAACTCAGGTGCTAGAGAGATGGCATCAATATTAGAGAGATGAGATCTCTGGGAATCTTCAAAATGAAATGGTATGTTACTCTTTGATAATGGCATCAATATACGTATACCCTCATTGTATGTAAAATGTGTTTTTTTAAAGAGTTTTGTGTTTTTTATATCACTTGGTATGATCAAGCAGTTTAACATCAATACACAAGACAACACTTGGTAAGTACAAGTTTTTTTTTTTTTTTTTTTTTTTTGTCATTGTTTCTCATAATTTGTGTTTTTTTTTATGATGGTTGACAATTATGGTTATGTTTTCACACAGATCATGTTTGATGATGATGTGATGGTGGTTCCTGATTTGGTGAAAGTTGATTCATTTATCTTAATCCCTTTACATGTTCCATTAGTTAGAGAAATTATTTGTATACACTATTTTTTGTATAATGAGATTATTGAATGTCAGTTTAAATGTTAATACATTTATCGTATGAAATGAATTGATTTCTTATTGTTTGTATATGATTGTATTTTTTTTGTATATGGTATTTTATTTTATATTATGAGACACGAAATGCAAATTTAATTTGAAAATTAGTAAACTATAAATATTTTTTAAAATAAAATAAAATAAAAATTACGATACGCATAAATGTGTGTCATCTTCATTTATGACATAGCCTTTCTTGACAGCGGCTTTAATGATATGCATTGTGTGTCATAAATGCGCGCCGTCTCTCGTTATGACAGGGCCTTTCTTGATGCGCATTTGTGTGACGTCTGAGTGTTTTACGAGGCGCAATGAGTGTCATAAAAGGCCGTTTTTCTAGTAGTGCATGCACATTAGGGTTTACATGGTGTAACCCTACATGTGACACACTATATAAGGAACCTCATATGTAGCAAATCGGCCACTAAGACAAAAGGAGTGAGGGCTAGCCGAATTTGTGCTCAACTGTACTTTTCTCAAGTTATTCCAAAAGTTGTGGTGTTGTGTGAAGCATTTGAGGCATCACATTTTGGGTGGTAGGCTCACAAGGTCTTTAGGAATCCACTCAACAACAAAGGTATGTCATTCTATTGATTTTTATATTACAAGTACCCCATGCTATGCTAGTTATAATGAGAACCTTGGAAAAATCATATTTTCATGTATATTAGAGAAAATATAGATCCAAGGTTTCTAGGGTTGCATGTACACCATAGGAGTGTTAGAACGCTCAAAACCCATCAAAACTATAGCCTTGTTTGTACAAACTATGAAAGGACATAATATTTCTTGCCATTTCAGACGAGTAACAACAATTATTCAAATCTAACTCTAACCCACTACTAAGCAATAAAGAGTAAACTCCAATATTGGTGATAGGTGAAACCTTCCTATTCCCGATGACCAAATTTATCTTCCCATGCTCCACATCCTTACTTCCTTATATGCCCTGCAAATCCACAACCTGTGTCAGGAACCCAAGAGTTATAATGTGATGAGTTTGTAGATAGAATAGTATAAATACCTGCATGGGTGCATTTAACCATTCTATCCTTGACATCCTTCAAGTATTTGGGGCAACTTTGCTTCCAGTTTGATGAGAAATGTTATCGAGAATTTAGAAAAGATAAGATAGATTTGAACGATTTAAGATGAAGAACACAGAGAGTAAATATTAATCAGATCTCATATTGATTAAGACTGATTACAGAAATAAGCAGAAGTGAGTTCTAGCATTCGTATTTCTACTTCTAGCCTAAGTCCCTATTTATAGGGAACAAACAAAAAATATACTAAGTCTATACATTTTCTTCTCATAAAAGATGACTTAGTAAAATAACATAAAATGCGAAACTACACAAAACACTCTATTTGACTTTACAATATACATCAACATTCTCCCCCTTTGTAAACAATCGATACAATTCAACTCATAAGCTTTTGAATTGCAGAGTGAATTGTCTTTCGCACTTCTCCATACCAGGAGATCACCTTCTTCAAATCTTTCTTATCTTTTCTAAATTCTCGATAACAATTCTCATCAATTGGTATCAGAGCGAAATTTTCACCACAACAACCAAATTTTCCAAATCCTTCAATATCAACACCAACCAAAGTTTCATACATCAAAGGAAAGTCTGATGTAAGTATGGTCAATCATTGGTTTGAAGGGAAAGGAAAGAAATATCAAAGTGCAAAGTTTTCAGAACAACAAATCAAAAGTGCATTTGATAAGTTCACAAATAATTCTTCAACTGCTAGTACATCATCACATTATTCGCAAGTTCCGGTTCAAAAATGGAAACCAATTATCAAAAATGCGAATGTTGTGAAGGATAAGATTACAATCAATGAGAATCCAAAATTATTGAATGACTATATTTCAATATCTAGAACTGACAATGTTGATATAATGGATTCTGTTACAAACAAAGTGAAAACATGGTTTTTAAGTTCTAAAAAGTTGTTTAATTCTACTAATGATGGACCCAATAAGTCTTGGGTTCCTAAATTTTTTCAATAAATGCAGGTGATATTTGACAAGCAATATGATACAAAATGGTATATTGATAGTGGTTGCTCTCGTCATATGACTGGAAGAAAGGAAAATTTGCGAGATTACCGAAGCTTGGAAAATGCTGGAGTTGTCAAATTTGGAAATAATCACAAGTGTCAAGTGAAAGGATATGGGAAAGTCACAAATGGAAACTTCACAGTAAACAGAGTTTCTTATGTTGAAGGACTTCAACATAATTTGATAAGTGTATCACAACTTGTTGTGGGTACTGGAAATCAAGTGGTGTTTAATGAAGAAGGAAGTATCATCTCAAATGCAAAGACAAATGAAATACTTCTAAAATCCAAAAGATATGGTCATATGTTTACACTGGACATCAAACCAATTGTGAGAAAACCAGCTGTGTGTTTACTATCAAAAGCATCCAATGATCTCAGCTGGCTTTGGCATAGAAGATTTTCACATTTGAACTTTCGAAATATAAATAGACTTGTAACTGAAGATTTAGTTCGAGGGTTACCAGTATTAAAATTTGACAATGATTCTTTGTGTGCAGCTTGCGAACAAGGAAAACAACATCGAAAAGGTCATCCATTGTCATAGATTCAAAGATAGTAGATCCATTGGAACTTCTTCACATTGATCTATGTGGACCATCAACTGTTGCAAAATAAATAAAAAGCGTATATTTTAGTTGTTGTAGATGATTTCTCTAGATTCACATGGGTGTTTTTTCTCAGGTTGAAATCTGAAGTTGCTCAGATGATGATTGATTTTATCAAAAAGATTGAAATTAGTCTGAAGAAGAATGTACGAAAATTAAAAGTGATAATGGTTTGGAGTTTAAAAATCAAACTCTTGACAATTTTCTTACAAACAAAGGTATTTCGCATAATTTCTCATCACCATATACTCCACAGCAAAATGGTGTAGTTGAAAGAAGAAATCGATCTCTATGCGAAGCTGCCAGAACCATGCTAACATATGCGAATCTAGCTCAATATCTTTGGGCAGAAGCTGTGTCCACAGCATGTTTTACTCAGAATCGATCATACATTCATAGAAGATTCAATGTTACTCCATATGAAATAATCAATAATAGGAAACCTAATGTAAAATTCTTTCATGTTTTTGGTTGTAGGTGCTTTATTATGAATCTCAAAGATAATTTGTCAAAGTTTCAAGCAAAAGCTGATGAAG